TGTGTGAATGCCATAAGTTACACTCATCCAGACTAAGATGGCTACAACATCACTGGATGGTGCTCCCTTATGCCCCTCCCATGCATGTGGTCTGCTGAAGGACTGTAGTACGCTCACAGGGATCATGGAAATGATGTCCTACTTTCAGAAATTTCTCTTTTTTAGGAGGGTTGGCAAGCGCAGCATAGGTAGAAGTAGTGAGAGAGGTTACAGGATCACAGGTGAGAGAGGGGACAGAAGGATCACATCTTTGGGGGAAAGAAAAGAAGGCCTCTTTACAAAACATAGACTTTCCCCTGAAGCAGTTATCTGGCTTAATGCTAAGTGCTTATTTGCTACCTTTCTTGATTCTTGCACATTTAAAGTAAGGCCAACTCTATTTTCATTTCATTTGCCCGCTGTTGGTGCTGCTAACTGCAGACAATGAAAACCTTTTAGTTTTTGGTGGAGAAAAGTGGTGATGGGTAGGTTTCTCAGTCATGTGGCTAGGCAGTGGGTACCACAGTATTCAGTCGAGCTTACTTGGGTTACAGAGTGAGGAGTTCCTCCAAAACAGTAGTGTATGTCTTCCTTTGGCCATGTAGGTGCCCCCCCCCTTTCTCTGTCCTACTGCTGTGTCCTGACTGACAACCTCATTATCTTTCCCTGAACCCCTTTAACTGTATCCTTTCCTGAGTCCTGCTCCCATCAATCTACTTCCAGGCTATAGCTTAGAGGCATTATCCTAGAACATGACCTCCAGTATTATTTTACCCCCTTCCCAGTTCTTCCTAGTTTTTAGAATGACATTGGCATGACGTGTGAGGCTGCCTGGCACCTGGTTTGTGGGTAAGCCTCCTCCCCCGATTCCTGCCCAGCAGCCTGACATTCTCACCTCCCAGAGTCAGTGTCCGCCAGATACCCTGCATCCTCTGCCCACTGCTACAGCAGCTGGACCTCCAGCCTGTCTCTGGAGGGCGTCCTTCTGAATTACATCTTAGCTCAGGATGCCCCCTTGGGAAGCCTGCAGTCCCAGAGGAATCGGATGTCCTTTCTTCATGTCCCTGGAGCCTCCTCCATGCTGGTGCACATTGTATGGCATTGTCACTGCTCGCCTGTTTCCCCTGAGAGCAATAATGGACTGACATTCTTTCATGTGTGCCCAGCACATTGCCTGGCATAAAGTAAGCACCCAATAAATTTCAAATGCAGCATATGTTAAGTTCCCCATAAAACCTCAGCCACTGCCAGCTCTGCTCCCAGTCTGTGTGTTCTCCTTGAGGGATCCTTCAATTTTCAAAACAGGAGACTGCTGTAGAATTTTGGCAGGGAAGGTAGATTCTAGCCTTTCTTCTATAAGTGGGGTTTTCAACTTTATGGTTTTTTGTCTTTAAAAATTTAATTAATTTGTGTTAGCCCTAAATACTATAATTAGAAAATTTTGTTCTCATTAAACAAATATTCTTATTAATAAAAAGTTCTTATATTTAATTACTTCAGTATATTCATAGACTTAAACATTTGTATTAAAATTAACTTTTATAATTATCTTTTTTATTAATTTTATTGAGAAACAAATAGCAATGAGACCAATGAGAAGAAAGATTTGTACTAATAGTATTTGGACAGGATATCATATCTGCATCTTGTACTATGAATAACCACTAAGATAACAATAAGCAATGTATTAATTATTGAAACTGTTCTATTAATTGGTTTGAAACTGTCTCATTGCTGTTTCTCAGTAAAATTAATAAAAAAATAGCAATGAGACAGTTTCAAAACAGGTTAGGACAGGTAGGACAGTTACATTGATTAATACATTGCATATTATTGTCTTCATAGTAGTTATTCATAGTAAAAGATACAGACATGATATCCTGTCCAAACACTATTAGTACAAATCTTTCTTCTCATTGAATTAAGAGAAAGTATCTATATTGTCAGTTTGTAGTGGTAGTTTTTTTTAGCAGCAAAATTTTAGTAGCTATAGTCTGTGCAGAGCTGCAGCTTCCCTCTTTTGCTGAGTTCCTCCACTTAATTGCTTTGGTGAGCAGAGGGAAGCTGTACTTCTGGACACAAGAAGGAACCCACTCATGTGCTGTTGCTTTTCCTTGGCTGCCCTGAGCAAGACAGCACAGTGTGGCAGTGCGGGGCTGTCCCCTGGGGGTGTCGGCCTTTTTCTGCCTCCACTCACAGCTCAGAGTGGTTTGAGTTCCTGTCTGCCCCAAGCTACTGGGGCATGTAATAAGAAGCTGTTTCTGAACTCCTTAGTTAAAACAGGTCCATGCAGTCTGCCAGAAAACAGCATCCATACCCTGAATGTGCAGTTGCACAATCGCTTGCCCAGAATAAAGTGTGACATGACTAAGGTCTCCCTCCGGTGGTCAGGCTGCTGGCTGCACGTTTGCAAACAGCCCCCATTCTGGCCTCTCTCCTAGTTATGTCATTCAGTGCCCTGCATTGCCCTGTGTGCAACATTGCTCTTCCCTTGTGCTCTATGTGATTTTAGGTAAACAAGTCATACTTTGGGTTGATGCAAGAGCCTAAAGTGGTTGGAATGGTTTTTAAAAGAGTATTTTATGGAGACAGCAAGGAAAATGTTACTGCCTGCTCTAAGAATATCTGGTTCCACTGCTCTACAGACTTTGAGGTAGAGGACAATTTAGCTGAACTTCTGTATGTCAGTTTCCTTCTCTGTAAAATGGGGCAATAAGATACCAGCCTATACATTGTGAGGACTGACTAAAACAATGTCTGTGAAGCAGAGCTTAGCCCTCAGTCACATCCAGTAGCCAGAAAATGGCAAGTGGCTGCTGCTTCCTGCTCCCAAGGTCCCCTTCGCAATAAGTTAGGTCCCCTAACTTATTCTAACATGCAGGAGTTAAGGGCAAAACCTTGGGATAGCCTTCAAAGGTGCAATTTATTCTTCTGCATGCCACCAACAGACATTAGGATCTAGTTAGCAGAGCCGGCAGGCAAGGAGAATCTGGGTCCCAGGCACGTGCCTTGCTCCTGGAAAGGACGAGGGTTCTAAATGGTTTTCCCCAAATCTGGAGCTCCAGAGCACTTCTGGAAGCACAATGTCCAAAGGCTGCTCCATCGCTCTCCTCATTAGGTTCCATGTTTTACTTATGCAAACAATGGAGTTTGTCTGAGTGAGTGCTTGGCTGGACCCAAATGTACGTTATCTGCTAGTCACTTGGCTGCTCATCCTTGAGGCTGTCTGTACTACTTTGCCCCATCCCCATGTCCCACAGGCCAGCAGCTACAGTGTGACCACATCTCCCTCCCATCACGCGTCCCTTGGCCTTGCCTCCCCCCTTCCTGCCAGCACTGCTGCTGGAGAGTCTCTCCTGTCCTCTGGCATCTCTCATTGTGTTCTGCTTATCACACACTCTGAGGAAATACAGAGTTCCAAGGTCTAGTAGTTAGGGGCCACACCCATTGTTAGAGGCAATTGTAGTAAAAACAGAAACAACAAGACAGAAGAAGATCCTTTTTAACTCTGTTTGACTTGAATGTTCTCTCAACTTATTTAATTGTAGCGTTTCTCCTCCTAGTTGCAGGGAACTTAGGTCCCTAAATCTCCTCCTAGAGAGTGCTTCCACAGTCTGTGGATGAGCTGCTCCCTGTTTGCTTGTTAAAGTAAACTGAGCTCAAACACTGGTCAATAAGCACATCGCTGTGGTAATGCTCCGTGTGCCGTTTCAAGAGATGGTGCAGACATAGCTCATCTCTAAGATGTGTGCTGAGTGAAGAGAGCACAGGGCATGTAGGCTGAGCCCTTGCTTGTCTGGGTGTACGTGCTGGACAAAGACCCTGTTCCCCCAAAGTGGCAGGAGGGTCCACCTGTAGGGAGGGGGCTGGATGTCTGGGAAAGGTGGAAGCAAACTCTTTTCTATAAGTCTCCTAGGGCACAAAGAATTTTCTACTGTTTTGGACAAAACACTGCTCTGCTCCTATCACCTCCTGAATTCATACAGAGAACAGCCTGAACTGCAGCGCCCTGTGCTCCTGACCCAGACCTTGCCCTCACACCCCTCAGCCTCTCTTGTTTCCCACAAGGCCGCTCCTGCTTTCTGTGCCACCTCTACCTCACATCTCTGCATGAGACACAGGGCCATTGATCACTGGTGCTGCTTTCCTTTGCCACTTCTCAGATGGCAGCCCACTGCTGGAGAGCACATTGGCCTGGGTGTGGGACCAGCTGTCAGCTTCTCGTGCCTCCAACTCTCAGCTGTGAGATCCTGAGACACACAGGGGCCTGGAGGCTGTGGCACTGTGTGGGAAGGCCAGGAACTCTAGGGGTGAAGATGAGACTTAGGAAACTTAGTGTTGTAGCTTTCCTTTCCTTTGCAGTGCAGGGGAGGATAACACACCTTAGCTCACAGGGCTTGTGCATGGTGCTCATCTTTCTAGCATACCTGACATGGACCTGGATCTTGTGAGTGTTCAGGGCGTATGTGCTGACTTGTCTCCTGCTGTGACGACCAGCATGCCATTCTCTTGGGTCCTGAGTCTTTGAGTTTCAGAGGAAAGAACACAAAGCCTGAAGTCATCCCCAGCTCTGGATGACTAAGCCTAGGGAGATGCGGAGCCCCAGTGTTCTTGGGTCCCCAGATCTAACACAGAATCTATAATCTTTATATCTAAGAGCTTTCATCATCAGGTCACCATGGATGCAAAAGGTTAGCAGTGAGCACAGATTCTCTCCCACCTTCTAGGAATTTTTGGAGGATGCAGAAAATCATGTCTTCCATATGCTTAAGTGAAGATGAATTTACACTATGCAAGGTAGAATAAAGGAGCCTCACTATTAGGGGAGTGACCCCCAAGACTGTAAGATAAAGCCCTGGGCCTGATTTACTTCATTTGAAGTATGAAAGCCTTGATGCCCCGTTCTAAAAACTAGTTGTGAGGTTCACAAGAAGCAAGTCATGCCCAAGGCCTTTGTAAGCTGTGAAACTCTTCACAACTGTCAGCAGCATCTTGGTTAACTTGTCTGTTTATTGTTATAGCGGAGGGTGCAGGATGTCATCAGCCCCATTGTGTTTGAAGCCGCCTACAGCCTTGGGACACATGTGACTGGGGAGGAGGAAAGGGAGCTGCCAGCTCTGACACCAGTTCTGCGATGGAAGAAAGGACAAAAGATTGCCCAGAAGAATCAGGTGAGAACCTAAGTTATCACTTGGGGTTCAAAGTAGCAGGTACACACAGCAGAAATAATGACCCAGGGTAATGGTCAGGGTTTACCCCTTCCCTTTCTTGATCTACAAAATGAAGAAGTGAATGATTTTGTTTTCTCTTAACTACCTACCACAGGACCATTCTCAGGCAAGTCAGAATATTAGAAAATTGTAATTCCTTTGAGGTCATGAACTGGTCTGCAAATTTGTCTTCTGTTTCTAACCTGTTTCCTAAGACAGAGCTTAAATGGGCACACAGTACTTCCTCGGTGACTGTCTGTTGGTGAGGGAGGGAGTGAAGTAAAGAATGAAAGCTCCAGCCTACTGAGCGCGTGGCCGAGTTCCGGGTGTCCCTGGGAGCCCGGGCCCTCGGCAGGTGCAGGGGGATCCCACCCTGCCCCGTGTTCAGCATGTGCTGGGATGTGTGGCTGTGTAGGAGCTTTGGAGTGATGCTGGGTACAGGGAAGGTACCAGGCGCTGGTCTGTGCTGCAGCAGCGCCCGCTTGTCTGCCCTGAGCCATCTGTGAGATGTGCAGTACTCGGATCCAGAAACCCTGCATTTTAGTTTCACCAGACTTCAGCAAGGTCGGGGCAAAGCTGTGCAACCGCACGCTGGTCCCACTCTGTGGTTCTCCAGCCTGCTGTGAACAGAGAGAGAAACAGGCAAATCAGTGACCTGCAGGTGAGAGACATGAATAGAGCTATAGGAAGGGTTTGGGATTAGAAATCTCCATTCAGGGGTTTAAATAGGTAGTGAGGTTTTTAGCAAGACATCTGTTTTCTCCCAAAGTGTCCCCCAAACTGCCTTTCTCGGTTACTTTTCTCTTGTTGCTAAGACAAAATACCTGCTGCCTAGAATTAAAGAAGGAAAGGTTTATTTAGCTCACAGCTTGTGGGGGTTTCAGTCCATACTCAGCTGGCTCCAAGGCAGGGTGGCACATGGCACAGGGGCAACAGTTCAAGGCCACAGAAGACAGCAAAAGCAGTGAGAGAAAAGGGGGAGGAGCAGCCTCTTTCCCTCCCCCATACTGTAAGCAGGCTACTGGCCCATACCATCGTGGTGCCTTCCTCTTGCATAGGTTCAGGATGTTTAAAGGTAAGGCCGCTGCCCCGTGCTGAGTCACATAGTTAACCTCCTACTTTTCAAGTTGGCACAATATATCAGTCGTGACACTGCCTTTGCTTGGGCTCCCTAGAAATAGAGCCTGAGATGGGAATTTGGGAGCACGTGGACTCATGAGGCCATGCTGGTGAGGGGAAACCTATAAAGGAAGGGTAAGGAGCTGAACAAGGACATGGTCTCAGCTAAGGTCTAGATGGGAACGCTGAAACATAAAGGACAGCAGACTTGTCCTCTCCTCCAGGCATGGAGGCTGGTCTCTCTATCCCCATATTGGTCAGCTGTTAGCTGGCCATGGGTGAGGAAGAAGAGGGTGTGCAGCTCTGATTGAGTGGAGGCTCCTTCAGCTGAGGATGATTCCCTGGGGAGGATGCCGGTGGGCCTTCCTCCACACACATTGGCTGGGGAAAGGCTGGCCGTTGTCAGGATCCTTTGTGCTTCCAGACACAAGCTAGCAGATACTGCTTTTGTGAGGCTGCTTTTGACTTGAACATGAGGTTTTTTTCTTAAGGAACTTAACTTTAATTTTTTTATTATTATGAAAGATTACATTCATCATAAGAAGTTGCTACATACACATGAAATATCTTAATTTTTTTTACACACACTTTCTTTTCCTTTTTGTCCCTTTTCAAAGTGCAAAAAAAGTTCCCCTGGGAATGTGGTCTGCAAGCCCCTGGGGGTCCCTGATATCTTGGCTCAGGTGAAATGAGGGAAGAGGTGGGAGGACACAGGCTGTCTCATGGGGTCAGACAGTGGACGGGTGGGTCTTAGGATGAGGTAAGAAGAAAGCCAGGAAGAGGGCAGCAAAAAGACAAGATGACTTCTCCATTGATAATTAAAAATTGGTGTCCTATTCTGTAAAATGGGCTGAAGAGGTCAGGCTCGGGAGCCAGTAAGCATAATGTTATGACAACTGCTAAATAATAATCCTCAGGTTGTTAATCTGCTTTCTAAGGAAAAGCCACACTGGCCTGGTAAATGTCACCATGCTTGTGTTGTGGAAGTGCTATGGGGACTCACCTCACAGCCTCTGTTCTTATGTATTTCCGAACTGACCCAGTGAGCTCGCTCCCATCCTGTAGGAACCTTGCTGCTCTGTGTGTATTTCCACAATGAATCTGACTCTCATTTTTAGGTCACATGGCCTGATGGGAGAGAAGAGTGTGGGACACATTAGTATCCAAGTTGTTATTGGACACTTTAGGCTTGAGGTAGCTGACCAAGCACGGGTGTTCATGGCTGTGCCTGCGGAGACCCATTGCAAGGATTATAAAGGAGTAGTTTGGAAAGGGGAGAACTGTGGGGAACAGGCAACAGCTAAGCAGAGAACCTGATAATTTTCTGGAGTGCGTGAAGAGGGAAGTGTGCTAGGGGTTGGCTTCCTGTCTGCTTGAGGAATCAGAGAAACTGCAGCCTGAGCCAGGCTAGCTGTTACAGAGGGGATCAAGAAGAGTAGTAGATGAAGTTTAATGTGTGGAAGAGATGTCCTTCCATTGTCCCCACCTCTGCCTAATGCAGATATGCAGATTTACAAGCAGCCCACACAGGCAGCTGAGTAATTTGTTTTCTAAAGGGTTGAATGAACTGCATCAGATAGTGTGGTTGAGTTCATTCCCTAGAGAAAAGCCTAATCTGGCATTTGAAATTTCTATCATGAGAGGTAGATTTCCCTCCTTGCATCCACCCAAAGTCTAAGTCTCATCCTTAGACTTTCCAATCGGCAGTTTTACCATGACCTTAAATATGAATGGATAGCCAAGGGAAATAGAAATCAAAAGAAATATGATACATAGAAATAAAGATCGGGGGGCTGGGGAGATGGCTCAGTAGAAGAAGTGCTTCCCTGGCAAGTGCAAGGGTCTGAGTTCAATCCCTGGTTCCGCAAAAAAAGAAAGAAAAGAAAAAATAAAGATCACTATAAATCTAAGTAAGTAGAATAATTGAAGGGAAAACGTTATTCAGAGACTAAAATAGATTATAAGTTTTGTAAAAAGAAACCCTTGAAGTCCATGCAAGAAGTATAAGGAGACTGAAGAATATATTTCATTCATTAATGCATGAGTGGAATTCTACCTTAAGGGAAGAATCAGAGAAAAAGGAAAGAGTCCTAAAAATCAGAAATATGATTACAGAGTCAAATTTTCAGTGGAAGGATTAGAAGATAAAGGTAAGAAATCAACCTTCCATCTAAGAAGAGCTGAGCTCTTCTTAGAAAAATAAAAAGCTAAATGATAGCATACAAAGTTCTATATCCAAGTAATAAAAATATAAGAAAAAGGAAAAAGACCAACCAAAAGAGACTATGTGAGGTAATAGATAATTTCCCCACAATTAATGAGATACTTTTTCATTTAAAATACCTACTAATGAATGAGCAAGATAAACCCAAATTATTATACATACATGATTTTGAATAATCACTGCTTCCAAGACTGAAGAAAAAGTCTAAATATTTCCAGGACAGGAAGAACAGGATGGTGACAGTGGGGGAAATAGGTCAGTGTACAAGAGAACCAGAGTTGAGCTGATTATGCATTGGACTCTTCCTTAGCAAGATTAGAAGCTAGACTTTGTGGAGCTAAGGGCTTCAGAGCTCCAAGAAAAAGTGACTTTGAAACTAGAATTTTATTTTTACCCTACCAAACAAATGTGAAGTAAAAATAAAGTCACTTTTCAGATAGTCAAGGACCTAGGATGTTTACCTCCCCAGTAATCCTCCCAGGAGCATTACATGAGATGCTCTCCAACAAAACAGCAGTGACAACTAGAGAAAGAAAGTCTTGGAATCCAAGAAACTGTGGCAGCAAGTCCCAGAAGTGTGAAGAGTAGAAATCCCAGGGTCACTGTGGAAGTCACTGTGTGATCACTGTGGAAATCTAAAAGGCTTATCCAGTGTAGAGCAGCTTGTTAATGCACTTGCAGTGAAATGAAGACAAGCAATAGAATGATGAGGAAGTGGCAGATGTTCACAGTACAATGTATTGTATTTGTATTGTATGGATAAGAAAAAAATAAAGGCAGTAAAATCTCTGAAATCACGAGTTTGAGACCAGCCTGGGAAACTTAGACAGACCCTATTTGAAAATTTTATTTTATTTTTTTAAATTTTATTGAGAAACAAATAGCAAGGAGACAGTTTCAAAACTGATTATTGGGACAGTTTCAATAATTAATACATTGTATATTGTTGTCTTCGTAGTGGTTATTCATAGTATAGACATGATATCCTGTCCAAACACTATTAGTACAAATCTTTCTTCTCATTGAATTAAGTATCTGTATATCTATCCTAACTATTTTGTATAAACAGATACAAAATTGGCCTTCATTTGTATCCCTTATTTTGTTTAGTTCTGTCATTTAAATATTATAGGTGTGTGAACTCAGCAAAATAACCCAATATAGTCCAGTAGTCCATAATAGTATTGTGTTATCCATAGGACTGGCAATGTCAGAAGTTGTTGACTTAAGCCTTTTGCAGCTCAGCATATTAATATGGCTTTACTTTTTATACCCCATTTTTATACTTTTCTGCTGGATGGTTACAACCAAGATAAAGCAAAACCTATAGAACAAGAAATGTAACTTTTGTAACAGGCCTACGGATATAACTCAATGCAAAGGTGTTGAATGCAATCTTAAGTATACATAGAACACAATATTTTTGGAAAACAATAAGGTCTTTTCCCCGTGGTTCAAATACAGGCAAATTAAAATGTGGGATTTTGAGAAAGTAGAAGCATGTAAGTAAAGGACCTTGATGGAAGGACATTGTTCCTTAAGTAGAAGTTTAATATTCCCAGATTTTAATTTTGTCTCTCTATATAGAGAAAAATAAGCATGGCAGTTGTCTTGGCTC